CCTATTGCTATTCATCTTTACTCCTGACAATACACAAGATAGATTCAAATGACTCAGATAAAATACTTTTGTTTTTAAACACCAGAGGGTGAGCATCCTATAAAAAATGCAAATACACAGTTCACAAAAATTATTACAAAAACACAACAAATCCTTTGCATGTGTGTATAGGATGACCTAGGTTTTTGAAGCAGTAAAAAATGAATAAAAACCTCATCTTATATGTGAGTAAATACGGTAATACCTTTATTAATACTTTTATGAAAATTTTGTTTTTTAGACTAGCATCATTGCTATGCTATAAAAATCATTTTCAGTAACTTGTCACCTTCTTAGTCTACGTTAAGTCAAGTTTGTAGGACTCTACTGTTCTGCATAAAACAAAATTGTTTCAAAAATTTATAATTTGTGCACCACTCAAAGTACTCCCAGATGATTGTATAGACCAGAATTTCTCAAAATATGGGACATGTTAAAATTTTAATGAATTGTTTTCAATTTAGAAATACTTGTAATATTTGTATTACTGAAATATTCTTTAAGAACTAAGAACAACAGATTTATCTGTTAAGTATTGAAGACTTTTAACAACTTTTTCTTATAATTATGATTGTCATTTAGTAATAAAGTTAAGATTATAGAATGTGTGTGTGTATGTGTGTGAAATTAATTTCTCTTTTCAATAACATCTAAATATAAAATTATTATATGTAAGGTGATAGTCATAAAGCCATTTAAATTGCAATGGTTTCAAAAATATTTCCTTTATTTATTCAAACTTTTAGGTCTATTGTCATACATAACAATAAATAATAAAAAATAAATAATGGATGAATTTTGGCACAAGTAGATCAATAAATTATTTTTCTGTATATATACAAAATAAAATTGACAATCTTACAATCTAAACAGTATGTTTTAAAAAAGGGTTCATTAATATTATAAAAAAACTAGTAATATTTTTCAAAATAAAATAGACTCCTGAATAATTTTGAAACAGTCTATTTTATTTACAATCATCAGTCTTGCATTTTTAATAGATAAATTTCAATAATAAAAACTAAAATTGAAATAAGTTATTTGTTACAAATCAAAATTGGCCTGATCATCTCTTAATAGAAATGTACTCAATGTTACATTTTACACGTAAAAGTTATCATCAATAATGCATAATTTTATTTTGTTATATAATATAGAGTGACTCCAGTTTACCAGGTTTTTTAAAAATTATATATTATAAATATCTGGATTGCAGAACCATTACAAACAAATATATTGGATTGTGGGAGCAAAAAGTTTAAAAAATGCTGAGATTCAACCATTTACAATAAACAATTAAATGTTAAAATATCTGTAAAATGTTTTTCTTGTGTGTTAAAACTGATTTTAATGCTTAAGTCAGAGTATGTTACATTGTAACGTTACACTATCAATAGATCATTATTTGGCATGAGGTGCAATTAATTTTCTTGTTTTTACTATAATGAATAACATTTTAGTCTACATTTCTGAATATACTAGGAAAAATTTTATTAAACCATATTGAGTACACTCTTGGAACAATACATGCAAATCAGATTATTCATCACAGGAAGTAACGTTAAATTATTCTCTATAGTAAATTAAACTTCACTCTGACACTGGAGATGAAATACTAAATACTGAACCTGAATACTATTTAAATTTCATACATATAAACATACAAAATGTTTTCGATTCCTTGTAAACAGGAACTGATTTAGAGAGGATGTTAAAATTTTGAATTAAATAACTTTTTTATAATTTTTAGATTTTGATTTTGGATTTTAAATTATAAATAATAATTCATCTGTAAACTTTGTTGGAAACTGTTGATAAAAATTTTGAGTTTAAGGTTTAATATGATTTTACAATATGAAGAAGTTACACTATAATAATTAACAATCATAATATAAAATGATTCTAAAGAATTTAGTCTGAGTAGATGAATGACAAAGCAGCAATAACATCAAAATGCTTGAAAATTGCTTCTTGTGATGCAAAAAACTAAGAAAAACGTTAATACTGTCTTATCAACACTATTATTTTTTACTTTTAACAAACTAAACTACAAATTGTCCTCTTCAGGTATAGGATAATGGAACCTTATAATTTAAAATAAATGTTAGTGTTCCAAATGACAAATTTAAAATGTATTCCATAGAATGTGTCAATACATTGAAAACACAATAATAATAATAATAATAAATAAGATAGAAATAAAAAATAGTTTGTCAAAAGTACTTATAGTATTGTTTCAAGTAAAAAATAAATAATGCCAATAGACAGTATTAACATTTTTCTTAGTAATAACATCAGAATACTATTCTGCATATTAAATATTAACAGTCCAACTCTAACTTGATTTTTCAAACTAAATCTAAATTATTGAAAGAAAAGAACAAATTTATCAATGAAAGGAAACAACTATACAACACTGTTAATCTCTATTATTTCTTTAACTTTAATATTCATTCATAATTGCTAAAAATTATCAAATCCATTTTCTCTTATTAAAAAGTTATTGCTGCTATATACTGAATATAATATGTTATAAAAAAAATATTGTATATTAAATATACCTGGCCATTTGCTAGGCTGAGTGGACGGAGCGAGCCTTTCTTCTCCACTACTGAATCTATGTCGACGGATATGGCCTGCTAGTAAATGACTATTCTGATATACAACACTAGAACTGTAAATTAAAAACAGTAAAGACATATTATGCAAAAAACTTTAATATTAAGTGTAAAAAAATTGTATTATTCAAATATAAATAATTAAAAATTATATATGGACATTACATTCCTACATCAAACAAAACTAAACAGATTATTAGATTTCATTCATCTTTTCTCTTCAGTTATATCCTTCATAATTATCGATGAATTCAAAAACAATTTACAATTAATGTTTAATATTACTAACAACATATTAACTAAAATGATGACATTGTAACAGCAAAAAAAAAGAAATAATAAGACATAAAAATGGAAGTGTCTGCAACACACACATGCAAGCATATACCAAAATAAAACTGCAGATATGTGACGATTTGTATAACAAAAGTCTACATAATTACTGTAATCTGTATTAAAAATTCTGATATTACCATCTTTTGATTATCAATTGACATGCTATGCTATGTCAGTTGATGATTCTATGTTTATGATGTTAATTTGGTAATTTATCAATTACATATATTTCAATTTATAATAAAAATGCACCATAAAAATGTAATAAAATTTTAACATCTGCTTCCAGTTATGCATTATCTATGGAAATTAATATTTCTAACTATGCATAACTAAAAACATTAGAACTAATGTCCAAAGTTGTTGTTGTTATGTTGGACATTTTCAGTTTTGTATCAAATTTGGTTTCCAATATCATCAAAAAATTATACTTTTCCATTATGTTTGCTAAATGCTAGTGTTTTAATTATATTTAATATATTGTTATTACCAATAAAAGATTGTGATAATTAATTTCTCCAATAATGCTGATGCATTCATCTCACTGAAATTATCAGAATTAACAAAATTTTTCATGTAATTTTAATTTTATGATGGCACTATTTATATTTCCAATTGATACATAAATATACAGATATGTAAACCATAAAAGATCTTATGTCAATATCAATTAAGATTTCAGAATATAATAAGCAGAAATGAGAATTCACTAGGCAATAATGAGGACAGTTGTGAAGTCTAAGGATTAATATGGCAAATACAACAAAATGAAATGTTGATCACTTACAATACATGAATATATTGCTATACGAGCAATTATTTATTGTGACCTTATCACAATGCCGGACTGCAATTTTTAACCATATTCTTTATTTATTCAACTTAAAAAATATATTTTCCATGTCAAATTTGTAGTGTCTTACCCTGTACATTATACTTTTCCTGATAATAACAGAGTCATGCCAGTCATCTACTTAACTTCATCTAGGGAAAAATTTTTAAATTGAGCTCATGTGACTTCCAGTCTAGACTGGAAGTTCATATATAGCTAATCAGGACCTCCTGCACCTAAGCTTTCCATACAGGGTTCATACTCAAATTTTTCTTTTAATTCCATGACTTTCCCTGACTTCCCCAGACCAATTTTGTATAAATTTCCTGACCCTCATGTCCCTTATAGTATGGCACACTGAAAAAGTAAAACAGCATTTAACTTACTATGCACATATACTATTGCCTTTTCAACTTTTTAATTAGTTATTTTTTTCTAATGAACAGTTATATACATATTTTTTTTTTATAACTGCCAAATTATTAAGACTAAAAATAAATTGTTTTGTTAAAATAAAATAGTTTATCCTGTTATTAATCCACAACCATAAATCTACGTGGCTTTGAAAAANCCCATTGTTAAACACTTTACAATTTGTGTATATTTAGTGTAAATCTAAACAGATTAGATATGAAATGTTAAATATATTTTATGTTTAATCTAACAGTATATAAATTAGTATCTTTACATTTCATTTTCTGTATAAACTTATTATTAGTAAGATTAAGAAAAGACAAATCTTAATAAATTGCAAAATAAGTATTAATTTTATTGTATTTTCAAAATTTAAGTGTTTTAGAAAACAATTTTCTTTAATACATAAAGAAAGCATTGTAGACATTTTTCAAATATGTATAAATAACCAATTTTAGTTATAAATATTACACTTTTAAATAAATTAATAAAATGAAATTATTTAGTATTTATGTCTTTTTTTATGAAGACTACAATAATTTTATTAATTTTAATAAAGAAAATTCCATTTATTTCAAAATATATTTATTATTCTGAACTTATTTTTTCTGATCAGAAAAAAGTTTTTAAAAAACAATATAATTTTTTATAAATTTTGATAAAAGGAAACAAAAATAACTAAAAAACATCATTTTTTAAAAATATAATAATTTATATAATTGTTAATTATGCAAAAATTCTAATTTTAAACAAAATATTACCGAAATGGAGTATTATGTAATTCCAGTAACTGTTTATATTTCAATAAAGCAGGACCTCCTTTTGGAATGTTTTCAATATAGCAACCTGGAATGTAATTAGGAGGAGGTTGGCCAAATGCATCCATATTTGCCTTTAATACCTGTAACCATTTTTCCATAACTTTCAACACAGAATGAATTTTTGGACTAACACTGGGTAAATCTATAAAAAAAAAATAATACATTATTTATTGTTAAAAATGCATGTTACAATTATTATAATTAAAGAAGTTTTATAAATGTTCAAACAGAATTTTTATTTTACAACAAAATATATTTCATAAATCAATCAAAACTACCAACAAATAATGGATGTATTTGTAGTTAATTCAAATCAACATAATAAATAAAAATTAAAATAAGAAACTAATGCAATATCAAATGGATGAAGTTAATATAAAAATTAAAAAAACCTTTATTATCCAGCATTTAATTATGGATAAACACACATTTTCAGTTAGTAGAAATGAGCCATCATTAGATTCAAGCCATGTGCTACTACAGGACTGTAGAACATAGCATATATTCCAGTACTGTACAACACTTCAATCAAATCCTTAAATTATATTTATTCCATTAAGATTTAATTCAAAAAACGTTTTCTTGATTAACGTTTTTTATCTGTAATTGGAGATGATCTTCAGGTCTGTATATTTGATGACAAAATGATTAAATTGAACAATGATGTTTTTTTGAAAAATTAAACAAAAGAAATTTTCAAAATATATAAGATATAATTAAAAGTAACAATGAATATAAAAGTTAATGAATGTAAGCATAAAAACAAGATAATCTACTGTAATGGTACAGAAGCTACCATGAATGGGGCAGATTCATAGAATCCCCGTGCTTTATTTAATTTCTCTTTACATTTTGCTCATAGATCTCCAAAATTTTTTAAAATTTGGCTAGGCCAAATTATGAATCTTCTAACTATTGCAGCATTGTTCCAAAGGACTGCATTATTCTACTGAAGTGTTTTACAACCTGTATGGTGCAACACACACAAGGTATGTTGCAAGAGTACCTCAGGTGTATTGCAGAAATATTAAATACTTTTTAGAATTTTGAATAAGCTCTTTTTTAAAGTTTAATTTATCTTTCATCTTTCACCACTGGCCTACCAAAGAAAGAAGAAAGTATTCACCAAAATGACAACTGTTGCAAAATTTCATCATCAGCATATCCATCTCACAAAAGTTGCCTGCATATATGCATATGCCAGCATACCAACTCTTTAAATAAAAATGTTTAAAATTTATTATGGCATGTTGCAGGAATCTATTAAATTCAAAGTATGTTACTAGTCCAACTAGTCCAAGAAGGCCAGGAAAAACTGCTCTAGTGTGTAATGATTGATAAAAGGGAAATTAAGTAAACACTTTTTAATAGTCATATTGATGTTTCTTGACTCATAGGGGTAGAGTGCAGAAAGTATATTCTACATAGATGTCATCTATTCCAAAACATCTGTCCTTCAATGAAATTGTGTACAGTACTGAAGTCTGGGAAATGTACACTTTATTTAACAAATTAACAGTTATATTTAAATAAATAATATTTGAGTATATACAAAAATTATAATAAACACAAAATAATATTGTATGTGCATAAATTAAGAAACAAAAATAAAAAACAAAATACAAATAAAACTAAATCTGACTTTTATTTTAATTATTGTTGATCTGAAGATGCAATTGAAAATCCTGTAAAGGAATAAATCTAAATAAATATTCTGTTCCTTTAACTTTAACTCTTTTGAGTTCCTTTCTAATGCTTCAAGCATATATATGTATGTAAGTGAATTTTAGCTTTATAAATATGAAAATGGTTATAAAGATCAACTGAAAATATGTGAAATACATGGATAAAAATGCCCAAATATAAAGCTTCTGTTATAGTCATTTAAGTAAATTATATGACTTCATAAGAAGGAAGAAGAATCAATGAAACAGTCCATGATTTCATAGAATTTAATGATGAGATAAGTAATTTTGATAAAGCTTAATCTGAAATAAATTGATTCAAGTATTACACTGTTTTTCTTTCTACTGTAGTTATGTATTTTTAGACATTTACATTTCTTAAAATAAAAAAATTTCCATTATTAATAAAATATTACAATTATGTAAGAGTAAAATAAAACTGTATATATACATACACACACAAACACAAACAAAATTATTATTATACATATATCCTATACTTATTTAAAAAGAAAAAGAAAATTTTACCAGATTGTTCAATTCCTCCAATACATAAGAAACTCAGAAGATGATGGTATGTAATTTTCACAATTGCATATCTCAGAATACCCCAACTATATGAAGATGGATCAAGTTGTTCTATAGTTTCAGACATTTTTGGTTTTTTAATTGTAGCACTTGTGGTATTTTTATCTATTTGATTTTCTCCAAATACATCATCATCAACTCCATCATCATCTTTTAAATCATCATCATCACTTGGTATAGAATCACTGGAGTCATAATCTAATATATTCCATTCTGATGATAATTGTGGCTAAATGATAATTATTTTAAAAAATTGTTTTATATGATTATTATAAATATAAAAGTTCATAATAAAATTTTAAATGAAACATGACATGACAAACCTTTGACATGAAACAAGACATCATTGACATTTCTGGAGAAACAAATTGCTCTCTGTATGTAGGTCTATCTTCTTTAATTACAGATTGTGAAGTTTCAGGATTCAACTGACTTAATAATTTCATATGCAATTTCATTCTTTGTTTATACAACGAATTTAGAAGCCCGGATTCTCCAGAAGGACTCTCTTCTGTAAATAAATTACAAAATTAAAAAAAATAATTGTGCATACAAACATGCTAAAAACTTCATTAAAATTTGTAGTAATTTTTATATCGTAAAAATACAGTTAAAATGTCAAAGTCTACATATTGTATGTAATAAAAAATAATAATAATTCCTCCTGATTGCCTAGAAAAACTAAAAGAAATTTTCAAAACAATAGAACTATGGCAACCATATCACACCATATACCCTCCTATTGGGGGGACTTCAATTCACAAATTGATAATATGATGGACTCCTGGTAGAGAGGTCCTAATACCTTAATTCAAAATATCAGACAATCAAAAGACAAACATGTCAATAAACTGGGCATAAACTTAATAGGAATAATAATTGATCATAAAATGTATATCCTAAACAGATGCATGAAATCTGATTATCCTGCTGAATATACCTGTATAGAACACAATGGAAAATACACAATCAACCTTATTGTATGTACAGAATTTATTACAACTATCTTTGATGCATCTGATCACTTTCTTACAGTGACAAAACTTTTATTTTTTTCTGCGAAAACAATAAATAGACTGTATAACAGATACCAAAAGATAAACTATAATATTTCAAGATACTCAGCCAAAATTGAAAAATTATTCAATAATATTCCGAAAATAACTGATTCTAATAGCTAAGAAATTCACAAACTCATGGTCACATAATGAATGACTATATACAAATAAAAAGTGTTGTAATTAATACTCAAAATAGATTTTAAAAACCTTGGTATGACTGACTGTTAGAATATGAAAGTGATAAAGCAACACAATTTAAAATTATTTAGGAAAGATTCAAATAACTTAAACTTTACTAAATAAAGGAAGACTAAACACACCTTTAATAACTTGTGCAAGGCTAAAAAGAAAAAATATTTTGGAAATCTAGAACCAACTTTAATTAATAAAAGCAAGGATAGTAATTTTTTTTGGTCTACAATACAAAAATTCTGCTTTAACGTAAATCTCAGTGATAATTTCCCAGTAATAAATTTTGACACATGGAAAAATTTTTATCAGCACTTTCCAAATATTCAATTAATCCAGTCACTTATATCCAGTACTGCCTCCTACAATGAACACTTGGACTCAAAATTTACAATCAAAGAATTAGAAGATTCTATTAACAGGGCTCAAACTAACTCAACCCTGGGAAGTGACCAACCATATCCCAACTAAATTCTTAAAATTACTTCCTCATCAAGCAAGAATAAAATTACTGAATCTATTTAACTCAATACATAACGCAGTCTCATACCCAGACTCATGGAACTCCATCTTACTTACTATAATATATAAAAAGGATGACAAACTATCTCCAAACAACTAAAGACCAATAGCTTTACTTTCAACTTTGAGGAAATGTTTCATGACAATAACAGCAGTTAAATTTCAACAATGGACTAAAGAAATGGAATTTGAAGCCAAATTTCAGTATGCTTACATCAGAAATAAAGGTACAGAATCAGCAATTTTTTTGTTACTATCACTAATACAATTACATCTAACTAAAAAAACATAGGAAAGTACTGTATATGTTTCTTTCATACATAAAAAAAAGTAGTAATAATAATTTAGTAATTTAGGCTTAAAATATTCAAGCTTAAATTGCTTGTTTTTTTTTGTGTTATACAGATAATTAATTCTTTCTAAGAAAGCGAATAAACAATACAAACCTGTGCAAATTACATAATGATAATCTTTTTTGATGAAAAAAAGATTATTATTATTTAATTTCTAAAAGATCTTGTTAAGTTTATATCACTACAGATTAAAGATAGCAAATTATGGTAATTCTATTATAATTTTACATTAAGAGTGAAATATTTCAGTGGTTTCCAAACTTTTTCAGTTTACAATGCCTAGGCCAAAAGAAATACATGACAGTTCTATTTAAAGTACACAAGTCCAAACAATTTAATAAAAATTTATGATTTAACAACTTGTAATTCTTAAAAGAGTAATACACAAACTGAAAAAAAAAACAGTATTTTTATTTCATTTTTTAATAACCATAATCACTACTGGGATGTCTGAATCTGTTGGGTACTACACACCTTGGAAATCTGTCACCATCATTTACCTTTTAAGATTGTTTTTTGCACAGTTCTGGCTTTTAATAACAGTAACTTTGCACAAATATGATATCACAAATGGAATTATGAATCATAGAACTTTAGCACTTAGCAGCAGATATTTATTTTTTACTAATGTCCAAAACTTAAGTTTGTTCCATGCTGCCAAATTTCATTTTTTTAAAGTTTTCGTCACAAGACAGATCAATAAGACTTTCTTTTACAATGACAAATTCAAATGGTCCCTTAGTATCAAATGAATCTTGAATCCATACAAACTATTCAGATCTTCTGAAAAGTATTTTTAAAACCAATCAATATGCTATTAGGTGCTATCAAAAACAGATTTAATTTTGTGGATTGAATGAACTTTATTAAATGTGGTTTACTGTTGCACTTTACCGTCATCTTCATTGATTTTTCTTCTCCAGAATAGTGAAGACTGAAACTTCTCTGCAAGTTTCAGAATAGGCATGTTACTTTCCTGCAGAGAGTTCAGTATTTAGAAGAGTTTCAGCATTATTGTTTACACCTTCTGCAATTTGGAGTTCTGTGTTTTCCTCAAAGATTTCATATACCTCCAGTACTGCAATGACCAGTTTGGAAAATACTAGCACTTTCATAATATGACTTTTTTCTATCAGCAATAGAATAGATTTATAAAATTTAATAATGCTATTTACAAATCTAATTAAATGATAAATAAAATAAATTTTATAGAAATTTTAAAAATTAACTGCATATTTTAATTTGTCACTAATTTTAAAAAGATAAGAGATTTGTTTTGGCATTCTGTGTAATTTCTAAAAACATTTTTGAAATGTATATTTTTTATATCTAGAATTTTATATTTGAAATAATTTATGTTTGCAAAATTTAATTTATTTTTATTACATGAAGATCTGTAACTATTTCAGAAACATGCTGAAAAAACTTTCAGAAATATAGTAAAAGCTCAATATGATGGACCACCATGGAACCAATTTCTTTGATCCCATGGTGGTCCAATGAATGTCCATTTTATCGAGATGACTATTACACATGTATCCATTATATCAAAAAGTTCATTACTATACAAAAGAATCACATTAGAATAGATCTCAAAAACAGACCTGGAGAAATTATCTGTAGTTCACAATGTTTTCTCTGGGTCCAGATGCCAAAATCCACTGAAACAAGATATTTCTACCTTGTTTTAGTGGATCCTTGTTACCACAAATATAAGGCAATTCTGCTGTATATAGTAATAATGACTTGTCCATTACTATATATCAATATTGTGGACAAAAGTCAGTTACAAAGTAGACAAAATCTCAATTGTAAAGTATATAAGCCAGATTTTTATTCAACTTGTAAAAACAATATATCTATCTATTTGTAAATCTAAAATATAAAACTAAAGTTTTTTATTTTTTTTATGATCTGTGGCTTTGCTTTACACAACAAATTCAAGACTTGCTGCTCATAGAGAAAACAAAACCAAAACTGAACAAAACTAGTCAATCAGAAAATGAAACAAAAACTAGATGTAATGTGAAAATCTACATTGAAAAAATTATTAAAAAATGAATTTTATATTATTTTCGTATTTATTTTTTCAAATAAAATAAATAAAACAGCAACTATGATGAAATAAATAAAACAATAATTGAGACAAAATAAAATGGTAACTACAAATTCTATAATAATGGAAGAACAGTGGTCTACAAGACCTGAGAAATAGTCCATAGTAGTGGAAGTACATTATAAAGGAATCTGTTGCAGTGAATGAGTTTTATTATAATTTTCCTATAATTTTGCTAGACCAACATAAGCCATCCATAATAATACAAGGTGTGTAATATTGAGTTTTTATGTATTTATAAATCACATACAAGTTTTATTTTAACAATACAAGAAAATTTCTAAAAGTAACATATTATTACATATAAATTTTAAATACATACTTTCTGTACTGGACTGTGTTATTTGAGGTACTGCAGTTGCAACATGAAGTAAACGTTTGGCTCCACCACCAAACAACATTCCCCATGTTTTCTCTGTAAAATTTTGGCTAACTAGTCTATATAAAATGTGGCAATCACAGGTAGCTAATGCATAAGTTAATTGACTGAGGTATGTCGCAATATATGCTTCACATAAAAGTGTGTGAAGCTTTGGAGAATCTTCATCTTTATCTCGAGCCATTAAAGCACGTAAAGAATGTACACCTAGAGGAGGGAAAAATAATAAAATAAGATACAATTTTATAAAATTGTAAATAAAATGTGAAAAAATTTAAGAATTTAAAACTAAAATAAAATTCAACATTAAAGCTCTTACAAACATTTTACAAAATACACATTTATTTGGCCTTATCTAATGCTTTTAGGTTCTTCTAAATGTATCTTCAGAATAACAATAGATAATATAGTATTTGCACAAAATACATAATAAAATTAATAAAAATATGTTGTAAAACTATTCAGAATTTAATGTAATCATCACAAATATGAACTGAAATTTCTAATAAAAAATATACAGTGTAGTTTTTTTACATCAGGATTACTTATCAGCATGTACTGTACAGTAGAGTCCCAGAAACTTAACATTCCATAAAAATTAATCTGATTTTTACCTCTATGACTTAACACTAGGATCAAATAAGCTATTGTTACTCATTGATGATACTTGTTAATAGCATCAATATCATGTATTTACAAAGAATATAACTTTTTTCCAAGATGCCATTGTAAAATGCCACAACAGGAAAGCAACTAACTCAAAGAACCCACTGAATAGCTAATAGTTTAAATTAAAATTTAATTACCAATATAAATAGTGATTATTAGTATGTACTTAATAAATATATGAATTTGCACATATACTGTATTTACTTGCTTATAAGACAATCTCGCATATAGGACAAGGTGTGACTTTGAAGATCAAAATAAAGAAAATTAGATTTATTAATACAATTCTAATTTTATTTAGTTTAATCACAAATAAAATATCAAATGCACACATTGACCTGCAGAAATTACTGGCATTTTAAACTTTAAGGAAAATCTTGTAAAATCAACAACATAATTTCTTTGTGTAAAGCTGGACAATCGGAAACTTTTTTTTGCCAATTATTAACAGTTGAATCCACTCTCTGTCAATTACACGTATGAGTTTCTCCGAATTCTGATTTCCGAATAATCATCTGTTTTCACATGGGAATGAATTAAAACTTATATCGGGCTTATGTATGATTTTGAAATTCAATTCAAAAGCTTTGCTTTTCCTATTGCTATTCATCTTTACTCCTGACAATACACAAGATAGATTCAAATGACTCAGATAAAATACTTTTGTTTTTAAACACCAGAGGGTGAGCATCCTATAAAAAATGCAAATACACAGTTCACAAAAATTATTACAAAAACACAACAAATCCTTTGCATGTGTGTATAGGATGACCTAGGTTTTTGAAGCAGTAAAAAATGAATAAAAACCTCATCTTATATGTGAGTAAATACGGTAATACCTTTATTAATACTTTTATGAAAATTTTGTTTTTTAGACTAGCATCATTGCTATGCTATAAAAATCATTTTCAGTAACTTGTCACCTTCTTAGTCTACGTTAAGTCAAGTTTGTAGGACTCTACTGTTCTGCATAAAACAAAATTGTTTCAAAAATTTATAATTTGTGCACCACTCAAAGTACTCCCAGATGATTGTATAGACCAGAATTTCTCAAAATATGGGACATGTTAAAATTTTAATGAATTGTTTTCAATTTAGAAATACTTGTAATATTTGTATTACTGAAATATTCTTTAAGAACTAAGAACAACAGATTTATCTGTTAAGTATTGAAGACTTTTAACAACTTTTTCTTATAATTATGATTGTCATTTAGTAATAAAGTTAAGATTATAGAATGTGTGTGTGTATGTGTGTGAAATTAATTTCTCTTTTCAATAACATCTAAATATAAAATTATTATATGTAAGGTGATAGTCATAAAGCCATTTAAATTGCAATGGTTTCAAAAATATTTCCTTTATTTATTCAAACTTTTAGGTCTATTGTCATACATAACAATAAATAATAAAAAATAAATAATGGATGAATTTTGGCACAAGTAGATCAATAAATTATTTTTCTGTATATATACAAAATAAAATTGACAATCTTACAATCTAAACAGTATGTTTTAAAAAAGGGTTCATTAATATTATAAAAAAACTAGTAATATTTTTCAAAATAAAATAGACTCCTGAATAATTTTGAAACAGTCTATTTTATTTACAATCATCAGTCTTGCATTTTTAATAGATAAATTTCAATAATAAAAACTAAAATTGAAATAAGTTATTTGTTACAAATCAAAATTGGCCTGATCATCTCTTAATAGAAATGTACTCAATGTTACATTTTACACGTAAAAGTTATCATCAATAATGCATAATTTTATTTTGTTATATAATATAGAGTGACTCCAGTTTACCAGGTTTTTTAAAAATTATATATTATAAATATCTGGATTGCAGAACCATTACAAACAAATATATTGGATTGTGGGAGCAAAAAGTTTAAAAAATGCTGAGATTCAACCATTTACAATAAACAATTAAATGTTAAAATATCTGTAAAATGTTTTTCTTGTGTGTTAAAACTGATTTTAATGCTTAAGTCAGAGTATGTTACATTGTAACGTTACACTATCAATAGATCATTATTTGGCATGAGGTGCAATTAATTTTCTTGTTTTTACTATAATGAATAACATTTTAGTCTACATTTCTGAATATACTAGGAAAAATTTTATTAAACCATATTGAGTACACTCTTGGAACAATACATGCAAATCAGATTATTCATCACAGGAAGTAACGTTAAATTATTCTCTATAGTAAATTAAACTTCACTCTGACACTGGAGATGAAATACTAAATACTGAACCTGAATACTATTTAAATTTCATACATATAAACATACAAAATGTTTTCGATTCCTTGTAAACAGGAACTGATTTAGAGAGGATGTTAAAATTTTGAATTAAATAACTTTTTTATAATTTTTAGATTTTGATTTTGGATTTTAAATTATAAATAATAATTCATCTGTAAACTTTGTTGGAAACTGTTGATAAAAATTTTGAGTTTAAGGTTTAATATGATTTTACAATATGAAGAAGTTACACTATAATAATTAACAATCATAATATAAAATGATTCTAAAGAATTTAGTCTGAGTAGATGAATGACAAAGCAGCAATAACATCAAAATGCTTGAAAATTGCTTCTTGTGATGCAAAAAACTAAGAAAAACGTTAATACTGTCTTATCAACACTATTATTTTTTACTTTTAACAAACTAAACTACAAATTGTCCTCTTCAGGTATAGGATAATGGAACCTTATAATTTAAAATAAATGTTAGTGTTCCAAATGACAAATTTAAAATGTATTCCATAGAATGTGTCAATACATTGAAAACACAATAATAATAATAATAATAAATAAGATAGAAATAAAAAATAGTTTGTCAAAAGTACTTATAGTATTGTTTCAAGTAAAAAATAAATAATGCCAATAGACAGTATTAACATTTTTCTTAGTAATAACATCAGAATACTATTCTGCATATTAAATATTAACAGTCCAACTCTAACTTGATTTTTCAAACTAAATCTAAATTATTGAAAGAAAAGAACAAATTTATCAATGAAAGGAAACAACTATACAACACTGTTAATCTCTATTATTTCTTTAACTTTAATATTCATTCATAATTGCTAAAAATTATCAAATCCATTTTCTCTTATTAAAAAGTTATTGCTGCTATATACTGAATATAATATGTTATAAAAAAAATATTGTATATTAAATATACCTGGCCATTTGCTAGGCTGAGTGGACGGAGCGAGCCTTTCTTCTCCACTACTGAATCTATGTCGACGGATATGGCCTGCTAGTAAATGACTATTCTGATATACAACACTAGAACTGTAAATTAAAAACAGTAAAGACATATTATGCAAAAAACTTTAATATTAAGTGTAAAAAAATTGTATTATTCAAATATAAATAATTAAAAATTATATATGGACATTACATTCCTACATCAAACAAAACTAAACAGATTATTAGATTTCATTCATCTTTTCTCTTCAGTTATATCCTTCATAATTATCGATGAATTCAAAAACAATTTACAATTAATGTTTAATATTACTAACAACATATTAACTAAAATGATGACATTGTAACAGCAAAAAAAAAGAAATAATAAGACATAAAAATGGAAGTGTCTGCAACACACACATGCAAGCATATACCAAAATAAAACTGCAGATATGTGACGATTTGTATAACAAAAGTCTACATAATTACTGTAATCTGTATTAAAAATTCTGATATTACCATCTTTTGATTATCAATTGACATGCTATGCTATGTCAGTTGATGATTCTATGTTTATGATGTTAATTTGGTAATTTATCAATTACATATATTTCAATTTATAATAAAAATGCACCATAAAAATGTAATAAAATTTTAACATCTGCTTCCAGTTATGCATTATCTATGGAAATTAATATTTCTAACTATGCATAACTAAAAACATTAGAACTAATGTCCAAAGTTGTTGTTGTTATGTTGGACATTTTCAGTTTTGTATCAAATTTGGTTTCCAATATCATCAAAAAATTATACTTTTCCATTATGTTTGCTAAATGCTAGTGTTTTAATTATATTTAATATATTGTTATTACCAATAAAAGATTGTGATAATTAATTTCTCCAATAATGCTGATGCATTCATCTCACTGAAATTATCAGAATTAACAAAATTTTTCATGTAATTTTAATTTTATGATGGCACTATTTATATTTCCAATTGATACATAAATATACAGATATGTAAACCATAAAAGATCTTATGTCAATATCAATTAAGATTTCAGAATATAATAAGCAGAAATGAGAATTCACTAGGCAATAATGAGGACAGTTGTGAAGTCTAAGGATTAATATGGCAAATACAACAAAATGAAATGTTGATCACTTACAATACATGAATATATTGCTATACGAGCAATTATTTATTGTGACCTTATCACAATGCCGGACTGCAATTTTTAACCATATTCTTTATTTATTCAACTTAAAAAATATATTTTCCATGTCAAATTTGTAGTGTCTTACCCTGTACATTATACTTTTCCTGATAATAACAGAGTCATGCCAGTCATCTACTTAACTTCATCTAGGGAAAAATTTTTAAATTGAGCTCATGTGACTTCCAGTCTAGACTGGAAGTTCATATATAGCTAATCAGGACCTCCTGCACCTAAGCTTTCCATACAGGGTTCATACTCAAATTTTTCTTTTAATTCCATGACTTTCCCTGACTTCCCCAGACCAATTTTGTATAAATTTCCTGACCCTCATGTCCCTTATAGTATGGCACACTGAAAAAGTAAAACAGCATTTAACTTACTATGCACATATACTATTGCCTTTTCAACTTTTTAATTAGTTATTTTTTTCTAATGAACAGTTATATACATATTTTTTTTTTATAACTGCCAAATTATTAAGACTAAAAATAAATTGTTTTGTTAAAATAAAATAGTTTATCCTGTTATTAATCCACAACCATAAATCTACGTGGCTTTGAAAAAGAGAAAAAAGCCATTATTTATTTATTATTCATTAACAAATCATGTATAATAGTGTACAAAAGTATATATTTATTAAATTTATTCCTTAATAAATTTCCTGAACTTTATAAAATATTAATTAACAGGAAAATAAATCAAAAATTAAAAAGTATTAAAATATGTTTTCTCTAATTAATGTTATATGCATTAATAAAAAATGTGTGATGACATGTTTCTATGAATTAGAACTTTGTTGGAAACTTATAAGTAAAAATTTAATATAAATGTAAGAATTATAATATAAATTAGCAGTTCTAAATAAAATTTCATTTGTAAATAAAAACAAAGAGAATGCAGCTGAAATTGTATAAAGAAATAAATTAACAAAAATTTATCATTAAAAAAAATAATACAATCTATTCTATTTGTTAAATCTGTTAAATTTAATAATGAATTATAAAATTTTCATTAAATACCTTATAAAATTTTCCATTGCCAAATTTCTTCCATTGTTTTGTTTTACAACGAAATTGTCACTATCACATAATGATTGATATATACAAGCTGATAATGAAGTACTTAAATCTCGTAATATACAAACTTTGGAATAAGAAGTGCTCGTCATAAATGGAGGCATAGCAATTTCCATAATAGTCAAAAGAATATCATGAGTCATTGCCTAATTAATAATATAAAAAAATATATTGTATTAATTTTATTGAAATAAAAATTATTTATATACATTTTATTAAATTTACTTTCAAACAAATTATAATAATTTGCATTAAAAAAAAATACAAAAAAATAATTTTTACTAAGTATCTTTAAATGTTATAAAATATTTTAGTTGATCTAAATTTAAAAAATCAAAGGATTGTTCAAATTTTTGAATAGCTTGAATTAACAAAGGTATTTGTAACAACAAACATTATTATAAACAAGGGCAAGCACATATTTTAACCAACCTCATTTGGAAAGAAAGAATAGAAAATACAGTAATACCCCGAACTTACAGATAGGTGGGACCGAGCAATAACCGCGTAAGTCGGGGTATAATTTCGCAATTTGTGTAAAATCCAAGTCGGATGTATGTAAGCTAATAAATGTTCTCGTTAATCTTATATCATCTTTTGATTCATTTACGGTTACAAGAAATCACCACATAGAGTCTCTCAAGTCTCCGTAGATATAACAAACACAGAAATAAATAACAAAATAAATTGTAGCTATGCATCGATTCCGCGCGACACATCCGAACATATAAGCTGAACAATAGTGTGGGGGGAGTGAGTAATCAAGGATTGTATGGTGCTCAAACAAAAGACAAATTGACGAGATTTGAAAATCACATAACTCCGGGTTCGCGTAAGTGGGGTAGTGTAAGTCGAGGTATTACTGTAATACCAAAAGCCTATAACCTATATTACAAAATGTAATATAAAAAAGAAAAATGTATATACATATATTGTAAAAATTAATAAACTATGTTATAAAAAATAATCTGCTTTTTTAAAACCCATTCTTTTAAAAATTCTGTGCACAGCCTAATTATAAATATTGCTATAACAAAAACAATTCAGTAAATTACAATGTAGTAAATCCAGATCCTACAGAGCACTATATAAAGTACAGTGGTACCTTGACTTACGAGTGTCCCAATTTACAAATTTTTTGAGATACAAGCCATCTCTTGGCTGAGTTTTTGCTTTGAGTTGAGAGTTAAATTTGGGTTACCAGCCAGCTCCAGATACCTCACCACTAGGTGGCACAGCAAACAATAGATTAAGAAAAAGATGGAAAATCACCGCAATTTCATCATTTTTGTTACTCTTCCAATGTCTGAAGGCTAGATTACAGAAAAACATGTGATTGAGTGATGTAGGCATTAGTTCACTTTCCACGTTGTGTGCGGTGCCACTGTCTCTCATCTCTCAAATTTTCCATCTTTTCTTTCTTTATCTATTGTTTTTATACAATATTCATTATTTATAAGTATATTTTTCTTATTTAAAAACATGTAACAAAAAAATTGTGATGTTTCAGGGGTCCAAAATAAATTAATGGCATTTCAATTCATTTTAATGGGGAAAATTAATTTGACATACAAATAATTTGAGTTACAAGTTCCGTCACAAAATGAATTAAACTTTAAGTCAAGGTACTACTGAATATGGTGTTTTATAGGCTAAAATAATTTAAGAATGAAAGTTTGAATTTTACTAATATATTTTTATGATTTATATTTTCGGCTTATTGAATTTTAATTATGAAGTATTTTAAACTGCCAAGCTGCAATATACAGTATATTCATTTTATAACAACTCTAAATTTAGCAACGCATCTTGATAAAACAACCAATAAAAAGGGTTCCAGCCAATCTAATCTATAAGCACAATGCACTTTGCTTCAATACAGCCTCAAATAATGTCTCAAATAGTCAGTCTTGTTAGAACACAATAAATAAATATGAATGAAAAAAAAATTATAAAAAGAACTTTTTCTTTCCAGCAAGAATATTTAATGATTAGACAAATGTTTTCAGACTAATTTACAGTCTAACTTCAGATCTATATTCAACATAACATACATTGTGTTCTATTTTGGAACATTGGATAGTTCTATGACATGTATTGTACAATAGTTTTTAAATTTTACATTGGTTTGGTTGATTGGTCAAATTTGGTTGATTTACAAATATTAACAATTCTATTTACATCAAGAATAAAAAGAAAAATTAATTATATATAAAAAGAGGAGAAATAGTAAAGTTACATATGGTCACTGTTTTCACCCTTTCCCCAAGGATTGTCTTAATAATAATATGATATTCAAGCCATTGACAATTGATTTGCAATTCTTGTGGTTGATACAGTTTTCATTTGTAGTTGCTTTAAAAATCTTCAGTTTGGTATTGTCATTGTTAAAGTTTTGTTTAATCAATTTGCTTCTCTGAGCTTAGTTTTAACACCCATTTCAGGGGCATTTATATGACTATTGAAGTGCACTGTTTGTTCTTCTCAATGTCATATTTATATATTTTTAGTATAATGGAAATCAAGCTGTTGTAGCACCAATGTATATTAGATATATGATAATGATAATGTATATTATCATTTTCAAATCAACAGAATGTATTATGTTGAATATAGACCTGAAGTTAGACTAAATCAGTCTGAAAAAGTTTGTCTAATCATTAAATATTTTTTCTGGAAAGAAAAAAGTTCTTTTTATAATTTGCTTTTTCTTCCACATTTATTGATTGTATTCAAACATTTATTCTAACAAGACAAGTTATTGGAATATGATATATCCCAATAATGTACAAATTTATACTTGCTATATACAAGCATATATAGCATACAGTAAACCTGTTTATGGCAACCACACATGGTTCCTTTCAAAAAGTGATCTTTTAGACAGGTGGTCATCCAATACAGGTGCTGCTGTAATACCATATTTCCACATGTATTTTGTGTGCACTTTTTAGCCATTTCTAAGCAAAACTCGAGGTAAACAAAAATAAATAAATTTTTTCAACAATAGAGCTATTTGGTACTGTATTTTATTCTTATCGGATAACTCAATTAACAGAAGTTGTCATGATTTTATAAGACAGATTTAATACCAATATTTTAAAGATTAATACAGTATTCACATTTTCTCAATTATAATGCACACTTTCTTTTTTCCAACTATTAATTCAACTTGATTCTCTTCATTCGCTCTTCAGTTATGTGTATTACATCATCGATATAGAAGCATGACGTAACTCTCCATCACTTCAGTTTTGGTTATTGTTAGTTTAATCTTATTTTAACTTAAAAAAATATTGTATTTTTAAATACTTAATATTTTCTTAAATAAATAAGAAAAATTATTAATTAATAATAAAACGATTTTATTATTTCTCCTCATAATATGATTTCATTACATCAATGACAACCGTGGAGTTGAAAAAGGAAGGTTGCCTGTAAAACTGATTTTTGCGTTAAAGCATTTATTGTTTTTTTGAATATTTTGTATGCAAAAATTACTTAGATATTATTTTTTAAAAATATCACAAAAATAAGGTAGGTCGATACAGAAACTATTTATCGCACATGTACTGTATATAAGCTTCAAAAAAATAAAATAAAATAAATTATATCAAATGATGAGATAAGCTGATTAATTGTATCATGTACAATATTTTTATACCCCTAAGGAAAATACTACAGGTCTACAGTACAATAAATTGCATTTTCCCACAGTTAAACTTTGTCTCTAATTGCCATTGTGATAAACCATTTTACTTTCTCTGATAACTTTAACATGATCTTCTAACGACAGCACTTCTCATTTCTTTCATTTTTCTAACATTTTTGAACAAACTCAAACAAATTTCCTTTGTAGCAAGACTAATCCATTAACACCTGCACCTAATTTCAAGAATGGGAGAAGTGCCCGAGATGGATTTGAACAAGCGTTTAGACTAATTCATTATACTAGGAGGGGAAAACATTGTTGAGATGGGTTTGGACAATACTTTAGACCAGATATATATAAAACTGGTCATTTATTACAGTTGTTGTATGTTGTTTCTGACCAAAAATAGATGCCCGAAGTCGCATTACATAGGTGTTCGTTTAATACAGGTAACTTATATGAAGACTATGCATAAACTACTAAGTTCCAGTAATTTTTGCCGTTTTGATAGGTACCTGTTGAATGCAGGTGGTTGCCTAAGCAGTTTTTACTGTATATTATTTTTCCAAAATTGTATAAGTTAAATATATTAATAGAATTAACAATACATTATTTATACAATTAGCAAAATTATATTTAGTTAGTTAAAATTTAAAACCTGTTATGAGTTAAACTTTAAAATTTGAATTTGAATTGTGTTATCCTGTATTTTAATAATGCAGAAAATAATTGAAAAAAAAGAGCACAATTTTAAAATCTTAGTAATGTAAATAAATTTAATTTAGCTTTGCATTGCATAAGTTTAATGATTTATTTTTATGAATGGACTCACTATTTACAAATAAAAAGAAATTACCTGAAGATGATATATAGGATCTCCAATTACAATTTTTTGGCTTGCAACACTTGCAGCAAGAAGAGGTAAAGTAGTTAAAAAAGGGAGGGGAGATAATAATTGCTGTTGAGATCTTTCTTGTTGTAATTCTTGTAAAAATAAAATTAATTCCATTCTAACTGCTGCTAGCCCTCCTCCATGTGCACCATGCAAACTGCAATAACCTAACAAAGTACGTATAAGACTTTCATTTGCTTTAAGCCACTGTTTTCGATGTGTTGCTTTATGAAGCTTAGCTTCAAAATCTAATTTATCTGATAAAAGAATTTCATGTAATGTGGGAAGTCTCTCTCTCTGAATATCTGAATTTTCAAAACGGAAACTAGCTGATCCAAGTCTTTCTCTTGTGATTTCACTTTCCTCCATTGAAGTACTTATTGATCCTTCCACTAAAAAGATAAATATATAAGATTAACAAATATATGAATGTAAATTTTCAAATCAAGTACAATTACAATTATTTGGATTACATCAACTTAATTTGTATATTCAATAATTCATAAATGACAAATTTAAGAGCATATTTATTAGGATTTGTAATTTTGCCTAAATTAACAGAAAATAAATAAATATAATATAGTAAATTTTTATTTAAAAAGATTTTGAAATATCTTTAAAATATTAATGCTATTTTAATTATATACTTAAATTTAAGCAAACTCATTAACACATTCAGTCCCAAAGTGCATTGGAGTGTTCTACACTGCCTCACCCAATACACCGAGGATGCTCATGTGCATCCTAAAAAATTTGTTTATATTACCACTCAGGAAAATTTTATTCTTTGATTACAAGAAAGCTTACTTTTATCTTATATTGTATGTTTCAAAGAATGTATTTATCCATTGAATTTGTATTAGTATTCTGTGAGTTAATTTTTTATTGGTATGTCTAGGCCCTATTTTTTCAGGGGAAAAAAAAACATAACAGCAAAAATTCCTGACACTTTTTACATATGTATTATAATCAAATAAAAAATTTAAAAAATTTTCAGCATATTGATAGTAAAATTTGTTTTTATACCAACAGTAAATAAGTTAAAGAAATTATAGCCCAAATATGTTAATTAGAAGAATCTATTCAAGTATATAACATAAAAGCTATTGAAGAAAGTCCATGTTAATTTATTATCCTAAAATCTTAATTATGCAACATGCTACATCCAAAATCCCCTTGGTATTGATTTTTAGAAATCCAATGGCTCTTTATTTCACATTTTTAACTTCAGTAAAAATGAAAAGAATTTAACAAAACAGACTTGTAATTTTTAATTGTCACCCTGTTTAGTTAATTACTAGTAAAAAAAAGTTTTAAATACTCATCTGTTTTACTTTTGGCAATGCCTTTTGTTTTTATATTGAAAGGAAATTTTTTATTTTAAATGCTAGAATGAGAAGACATGAAAATAAAGATGTTTAAAGAATAGAAATCAGATGTTTTGCTTATCAATTCTTAAATTTTACTAAATGATAAAAGTTTTTCAATCCAAAACAATTAATATGCTAAATATTTTCTACTAACTGAATGACTGAAATTCTTAACAAACAAGAAAAAATCAAATTCTCATTAAAGCATGGAATGAATAGATCATGAATGCTTAATTGTTCAGAAAATTCAATATCCCATCCAAGACTAAACACAATTTTTCTCTTGGATCTCAGTGAGAGTTGATTCTCAGCCAAATTTGTCTGGTATAGTGAGAAGGGAAAACTCAAATTTAAATGATATCAAACTAAAAATAAATCAGTCAATCAGAACAAATAAACATTGTGAGTGAAATATTAATATTATTTTTTAAATGATAGTCTCATTTTATCAAAAGTTTGTTGTTTTTATGAAGATATTTACTAATTTTTTTTCTTATAATGAAACATAGCTTTCTATCAATCATGTCTAGAGAAAGAAGTCAAAGCAAGCTCTCAAATTTCACAACACTAGCAGTTGTGAACAGTTGTGAAAAACTGCTAAAATCTGAGTTCCACAGTAAAATGTATAAAAACATTTATGGGAAACATAGATGGAGGTTAGTTACATAAAAACTCTTCATCATCAAAACACAAAATTTGAGAATGTTGCCTGCAATATGCATAATTTTAATCATGTGTCAATATTGGAATAATCTAAATTTTGAATGTCAATGTAGAGCAGTTTTTATGTAACTAACTCCCATTGATATGGTCCATATGCATTTTTATACATTTTGATATGGAGCTTACACCAAGAGCCAAGTTGGTTTCATTGAATTAGGGCTAATAAGATTAAGATTTATATATTCCATATTCTCTTAGACATATAAATAATTAAACTTTATCATCTTAAAATAAATAGATTTTAAAATTAAATATATCCCATATTGTATTTATTAATTCAATTATTTAATTAATTAAATAATACTATTAATAATTCACAAAACTAGAGTCTTCTTTTGTCCTTTCTCACACCTCTAGAAATAACACTCTTACAGCAGAGCAACCTTTATTTAAAAACTATTCGTCTGCCTCAATATGCAAAACATTACAAATCTTCCCTCTAATGATGACACAAGTAAAAAATATTTTTTACTTGTGTCATCACCAGAGAGAAGATTTTGAGAATTTACATTTACTGTCCTGGCCATTTTTAGCAAATGACTATTAATAATTGATAGTAATAAATAATTTAATATCCATTTTGGCAATATTCAATATTAATAAACAAAAATGAGTAATAATAATCTTATTTATATTCAAATGAATACAAACTTACCTGTATAAGTAGTAGTTGAATGTGCTGATCCATAATTACACAAGTCACGAAGGGCACTCACACTACTTTCTAACCATATGTACAACTGATAACGTAACTGTCCTCCATCCACTTCAAAACCTGTTGCTAAGGTACTTAATTCTTCCATCATAATCTGAAAATATTATAGTTAAATCATTGTTTTATTTTTTTATTCTAATAAATACATTTTATTCTTGTTCATAACATACACTATTAGATTTATTATTATATAAATATATATATATATATATATATAATAACTAATATATATGTTAATATGTATATTAACAACAAATAACAATAGTTCTAGTTCAGTTCTATAAAATTTCCATTGTTATAATACAGAACAAACAGATTATGCTTGTAAGATACAAATACACATACAAAGCCAAAAGAATTTCTTGTGGTCATATCTTGATCTTAAGTTTCAAATTGGAATTGGTAGAGTTAAGTTCACTCATTGAAAGTAAATTAAAGAAACAAAATATATAATATTCCAAGTGCAAACTATATAAAATCTCAGATTTTGCTAAATTTTTTCTTTTATACTTTACTAATTTTGCTAAGAGCTTAAATTGAATAGTTTGAAAAGTAAAATGACTAATTATTTGCACTTGGAATTTTCTAATTTACTATATTGTACTGTAAGGTCTCGTTTTATGCGGTGGATACGTTCTACAGAAAAGCACATATAAAAAATTCGCATAAAAAAAGACTTTACTTGCCTTGAAAAAGTAGGGATACGTTCCGTAATTTTGTAAAATCGCATAAAATCAAAACAACAAGTTAAAATTAACTTAAAATCGAATGAAATTACAGTTTATACCTTTTAATGCAAAACTCAGAATGATGTAATAGCGACTTGTCGATGGTAAGTATCATGTACAAGGGGAATCCCCGAATTGCAAAAGCTCACCTTAAAAACAAATCACTGACATCTGGATGTGAAGAGTTAATTAAAACCCCTTTAGTTTCTCGTCTGAGTTAACTCCAGCAGGTTACATAGCGTTACCTAAAACACAGTCCATAAGGCTTTTTGAAAATTTTTTTTTGGAATTTTTGGAATGTTTTTTAAGTCTCCAAATTTTTAAAAAATATTAAAAAATATACGGCCAGCTAGTGTTCACCCTACTTTAAACCCTTGTCCTCCTGCGACGTCTATGAGAATGCCCTGGGAAATCCAACTCCAGCTGTGTTCAAGGTCATCCAGATGTGTAAACAATGACTCATCAGTGTTAAATTTCACAGAAGGGCAAGACAAAGGAAGTTAAACTTTGAAACTTTTTCTTCAAAATTAACGCATTTATTTCGTTTTTTCAGTTTTACGTATTTTTTATTTTTAATTACATTTATATCAAAAATTGCTATGAACTAAAGCGATTAAGGTAGATCTAGCTGTCCTTTACATCCATAAACGTTATATGTCAGTGGAACAAATGGAGCGAGCTTTGAGCATTCCACGATTTTTGGAGACTGTCTATACGCGGGCTTCCTAAGCAAGCCTATATGTTTGTTTGTCCAAGAAATTTTTGGATGAAATACAAACCGCACAACTCAAAATCGCATAAAAATAATCCGCATAAAAAGAGACCTTACAGTACTTGAATAAAATAAACTTAAATTCATTGCTTCTAACTTTGAACTCAAGACTAAGTTGAAACTGCAGAATAAATTCTCTTGGCTTCATATGATGTGACTTGCCTTCCCAGCATAATCTGTTCTTTACACAATATTCGATACTTCAATGCTTTCTATGTTTACAACACTACAGTTTTTTTCAAAAACTAATTGCTTACATAAGTTTAGAGTGTATTTTAATAATCCAAATGATAAATATTAGGTTGTTCGAAAAGTAATTTCGTTTTTTTACCACTAGACGAATTAGTCATATTTTTCCTGCCATTTTTATTCTAAACCGTATTATCATTATATATTTTGACAGCTAGCATTTTAAGGCTTATTTGTAAAAAACTTTGTTTGATTTTCTGCAATTGTTTATTTTTTGTCCCATCAAATATGGAAGATCGAAAGCAGCATTTTCAGCATATTTTGCTCTTTCATTACCGAAAAGGTAATGAAAGAGCAAGAAAGCTTTTTCTTGCTGTTCAAGCAAGAAAAAAATTGTGACGTGTATGGAGAAGATGTATTGACAGAACGACAGTGCCAAAACTGGTTTACAAAATTTCATTCTGGCAATTTCAATATTGAAGATGCACCACATTCTGGATGGCCAGTTAAAGCCAATGAAAACAAAATAAAAGGTACTGATTGAAGCAAACTGCCGAATAACAACACGTGAAATCACTAAGAGATTAAATTTGCCAAATTGAACTGTTTATGATTACTTGAAACAAATTGGTTTCATTTCAAAGCTCAATATATGAGTTCCACATGTTCTTAAGGAGATATGCTCTCTTTGGTGGAATTTTAAGGAAATTTTTACCAGACAATTTAACAACTGATTCGAAAGTGTACTGCCATCGAGTAAACAAATTGAGTAATATCATTAAACTGAAAAGGCAGCCAGAATTGATCAACAAAACAGGTGTAGTGTTTTACCATGATAATGTCAAATTTCAAACAAATTTGGTAACTCGTCAGAAACTGTTATAACTTAGATGGGACATGCTATTGCACTAACCATACTCGCCAGATTGAGCCCACTCAGATTATTACTTGTTCCGGTCTATACAAATTTTTTTTAATTGTAAGACATTTACTTGAAATGACAATGTCAAAAATCACTTGGATCAGTTTTCTGTAAGCAATGATCAAAACTTTTATGAATATGAAATCATGCTACTACCAGAAACGATGACAACAAATATTTGACAAAAATGGTCGATAAATAATTCAACAAAATATTTATTTATTATAAAAATATTGTGTTTTTTTCCATGGAAAAAAAACGAAATTACTTTCCAAACATCCCAATATTTATTCCAAACCCCATATGAATGTAACAAATAATGATTATTAACCATAACATTCCTAATCAGTATGAGCTTTGAAAAAATTAGAAATTATATCTTGTATTTTCTGAAAGAAGTCATAAAACAAGGTATTCTCTAACTTCGGTATAATCCACAATTACATGATGTTATTTTTATACTTTTCAACTACCATTCCACTCTATGTAATGCTGAGTAATGCTGTCACACATACCTATTCCCAAAATTACATAATGCATATCCTCTATTAAGGAATAATATACAGCATATGGTACTGAATGTTACATTATTTTATTAATAACATATAACATTCAAATCAGTGACAAACAGTGTGGTTCACTATACAACACTTTTTTCTTTTGTATTAATTTTTTGGTAAATTGAACAAGTTAAAGCCAAATCTGAGACATTTTACCATATGGCAAAAAATTACTGGTAGCTTAATCCATATGTATTGAACAAACACCACCAGTTAATTTAAAGATCCTAGCATTACATAGCATTTGGTAAGTACCCCCTTTCCCTTGTAATGCACCATAACAATACACCCACCCATATCTTCATTACATAATTTATGGACAGCCTCCATAGGAAGAACTATAAATATATATATATTTATTGTTCTGTTAACTATAAAAGCCAATAGTTACTGTAATGTGCATTAACTGTTGCCATTTATCCACATTTTTCATTATTAAAAAGTTAATCATTTGTGAAAAAACTTCTGCATCATTGCTGTATATCATATAGTGCTTTTCTTTAAGGGAGTCGCTATCAATACCAAACAATTGCTGTAATGCATCAGGCTATTTTTCTGCTACTGTTAATAATTAAATTTCAAGTAATTTGTTACTAGAGGTAGGTGTTAGGCACCATCTCTTATTAAATTTAATAATTATAATAATTTAATATTTATTAAATAATTATTAATAATGACTAATAGCATTGGGTTTGAGAAATTTATATTTGTATATATATATATATATATATGGACTGTTTGTTTTGAAAGTGGTATAAGTCCATTTTTTCTTCTTTCGAGATATTTAAACATTTGCATTTTAGTTGATTCAAAAATATAAACAAAGTGTACTAAGTTTGACAATGTTTCTATGACTTTAGAAATATGTAAGTTGATTGCATAAAGACTTCTATGTGAATTTATCCAAACTAATATATTCTTTCTGGGCCATAAATGGACTTACACCACTTTCATAATTACTAAACTGTAAAATTCATTAAATTTCTATTATGTAAAACTCAATGTCACTTGAAACACATTGCGTTTTATTCTGATTTTGTTCATATATAATAACAAGAAATAAAATAGTATTGTTTATTCTGAACATTAAAAATATTTACTTATTGTTAAACTATTTTATGATAAATTTATCATTATTATGAGCTTACCATTAGACACTGCTTTTCATTTAGATTCATTACATGGATTTTTTTCTAGTCTATCAAATTGTACATTTGTTGGTAATATTTATAGTTTTACTCCTCTGTTGTAAGGGGCTGTCTTTAAATGATGTCCACACTGAAAGGGAGGGAGGGGTTAAGACAAGTTGGACAAGGAGGGTTGAGTATTAGCGGACATCCATTTATTTCATTAAATTTTATACAATATGCATTTTATTATATTTATTTCAAAGTTTCTTGTATGTTTCATTTCTACTTATGGTATCTATCATTCATAAAGTGATGAAGGTTTTAACAGGGATAGAGTTATGTTGGACATCCATAGAGGGAAAGGGGTTACAAAAACTTGGACAAACTGAAACAAGAGGGAAAAGTAAACATTTCAAGAAAAATGCACATGTAATTTATGGATAGCCCAAGTGCTTAGACTGTAGAAAATGGACTTATACCACTTTCAAAATCAATGGTTATGCAATGTCATTTATCGATAAATTTTCAATTGATCAAAGCTTATGGTTATTTTAAAATGTTAAGTGTAAATTGTTTATAAATAAAAAGTTCACACTAAATTGTATGTATATTATGTGTTTTCTCAATTTTTTCCAAAAATGGACTTACACCACTTTCAAAATAAACGGTCCATATACATACAATATATATATACACTGTGAGTAACTATCCATGGTTACTCACAGTGAGTAACTATGGATAGTTACATCTAAGATTAAATATGTCTGGAAGCAGAGAATCACTCAGGGGTCCACGTAGCATAACTGGCAATCATAACTGACAATCATAAAAGAATTGAACCTACAACACCCGCTTATCATGTAGATAAGCGGGTGTTGTGGGTTCAATTCTTTTCTTCCAGAACATTCTAAATTATACTTTCCACTAAAAGTTGGAATTTTTGTTAAATTATACTAGAGGTCACCAAACTATGGCCTGTGAGGTTATCTCATCCTGCAATGAGCTAAATTGAGCTAAAATATAATTATTTATATGGAAATATCATAGTTTGTAGATAAACTTACTATGTAGAAATTTTCAAAAAAGGCACAAGAGTTATTAAGCTTTGAAGTGGTGAACAAACTCGTGTCCCCCCTCACACACACTAACATCTATATATATATATAGGGAAAAATACCACGAAACTTTTTTTGCATTTCTCGATGTTTAAAAGTCCCAAGTCCAAAAATGTAAAAATCTTGGGGGTCATTTTTTGACTAAGTGCTATACTTTCCCTCTGTTATATAATATATAACAACCAGGAAAGTAAAATTAACTAACATTATTTCAAAGACATACTTTTAAACATGCAATAAATTTCAGTTGTTGAGCCATAATATCCAACTTTGCTTCATTATTTTTTTCTTCAACCTTTACATTTTCTGTAAAAGATAATAGTAACTGTAGTAAAAGAAAATAATAATAAATTTAGCATGCAATTAAAAAGTTAAATTTTTTAATTCTTTTTTTATCTTAATGTCATTACTTCATAGAATTCAAAACAAAAATATTTTCACAACGTCATATAAATATTTTGTTTATATAATTAAACTAGATAAATATCCCACAATAAACTAGGAAATCTTTTATGTTAGAAATTTTTATGTTTATTCTTTTATTAATAAAAAATGTTTTAATCTGAATTCATTTAAAATTACGTAAATACAAGTTAAATTAGAATAGTTAATTAACTTATGTAAAACAGATTTTAAAATGTATGCTTTGAATTAAAATGATATGAAGACTACAAGATTCTTATCCAACATAAAGCTATTTTGATAAAATTTAATAGAACCTTCTATCATATGTAGTCATTTTCTTGTTTTAATGCAGTACTGCTAAATTAAACATATGCTCAAAAACTGTAAAAAGAAATTATTTTGAAACAGATAAATGGGGGAAAAAATGTCAAAAAGATATAAACATTAGAGTTTAGTTCATTTTTCATTCCTTTTTTATATTTTATTTACCAATTCAACTCTCACAGTTGTGATAAAATCCCAAATAATCATTTGCATATCTTGGTAAGCTAGTTTTGATAATTTGATTCAATTTGTTGACATTTCCACAGCATGAATAAAGGCACTCAATTGTCTTCTGACGAACTTAACAAAAGCAAAGTCCACATTGCAGATGAACATTCCAAATGTAGAAATTGCAAAATCATTGAATAGGAGTGTGAGTAGCATCAATAATTTTTTCACAGATAAGAATAATTATGGAAAGAAGAGTACAGGACTTCCAAATATTTTTAGTCAATATAAAGACAGAAATATTGTATTGTGCAGCAACAGTTTCAGTTCTGCATCTAAAGTTTCAAAAGAATGTGAGATAAATTGTCACATTTGAACCATCCAAAGAGTATTACAAAAATCACCAAACTTAAAATACAAGAAAGCAAAGAATCCTCCTTTGACCAGCACAAAGAGTGAGAATAGAGTTTGTAACAACAATGTCAGAAATTCATTTAAAATAACTAAAATTAAACTATTTATCATCTGAAAAAATGTCATTTTTTCAGATGATAAATAGTTTAATTTGGATGGTCCTGATGAATTCAAGTGCAACTGATATAATTTGAGAAAAGTCAAATAGTTTTATAAGAAGCAAATAGGTGATGGATCAATAATGATTTGAGCAGCAAAAGAATGAAACAGAAAATTCAATGTGATTTTCTGTTCCAGAGAAATGAACTCAATTATACATATTTATAATAGAAAACAACTTAGTGAACATAATGGAGCAAATAGGTGATTCTGCTTACATATTCCAACAAAACAATGCTAGCTATCCAATCTACAAAAAAAAAAGTATTGATTTGCAGAACATAATATTCAGAGTGGTCTAGCAAGTTTCCAGATCTGAATATAATTAAAAATGTTTGGGATGGAATAAATGCAATACATTATTTTGTAACGTGTTATTTGTAGATTTTGTTCCTATCATTTTGATACATCTATTCATATCTATCTATCTATCTATGCAAAATAATTTTTTAATATAATTTTTGAGTATCCACTTAATTTATTAATATTGCATTACAACAAGTATATGATCACATGATAGCTAAATTCTTCATTAAATCTTATTAACTTGGAATAGTTTTTAAGTTAAGTAAAAATCTTGTAGTATTTATGTAATTTTGATACAGAATANCATTCTTAATTTTCCTCGATTTGTTTACGAATAAGAAGAACAAATACATTATTCTGTAATTTATAATTGATATAATTATTATTTTTTAAGTATAATTTCCTATTTAACAATCACTTAATAAAACGGATTTCATTAGAATTGCGTTTCACGTTTCAAAATACTGTAATTCTCTTTTTTCTCGCTTATAAATATGTATTCCCGACTTTGGCAAAAAAATCTTAATTTCATTTCCATTTTCCATTAACTCAGTTATTAATTTATTAACAGAAAATAACCTTTACATGCATTTACATTATAAAATGTCCATCGACAGTAGTTATACGCTGCTTTCTTAGAAGCAATCAAGTGTGTTTAGTTTAAAACTTGATCAATGTTTTCTTACTTCTGAAATTTTGTTATTTTTAATAATTAAACACGTGAATATAGACATTACTTCTTGTCATTACACCACGCTGATTGAAGCTTAAACAAACTACTTTTTTTATATTAGAAACAAATTACATTAATTCTGACAATGTTATCATTTTTAAAATATTTTTATATCTCTATTTGTGTATTTAATTTATGCAAATTTCCATTTTAACTAAATCTTCTACGAATATCTTAAGCTTTTTATATTAAAATTATGCATCTTTACACCTTAAAATAATGATGATGTTAAATTTTAAGCTGTTTAGTATAAGTTATGCGTTATTCCAGTGGCGCTTTATAACTTCATGGGCCTTGAATTAAGGGGCCGCATGCACTGTACAATGCTGACTTCAGCCATTTTTCTTCGGGAAAATTTTTGGGGAATATTTTCTTATAAAAGATTAGTTTGGGACCCCCTGATGGTGGGAGCCCCAGACAATTGCTCTTTTTGCCCATAGGATAACGCGCCACTGTGCAAATCGAATAAACAGCAATATAATTCCTTCCCTATAATAACAAAAATTGCAATTTGACTGAACATGTTTAAGCAATTTCAAATATTAATATTTATTTAAAACATAATAAAACATTAACTAAATCACAACATTTATCACCTTCTTCTGCTTCTTCTTCCTGATGAGTTTTCATTTCAATTCCCATTTCTTCTTCAGAACCATCATCAATTCTGAAATCTGGCTCTTCATCTTTAGTTGAAGATAAAGCTAAAGGTGTACTCCAATCAAATGCAAGTGCTGAATCTGAGACATTTTGTGAGCTTATGGGCTGACTCCAATCAAAATCTTCAACTTTATTAGAAGTTCCAGTATTACTTATTATGCTTGTTTGAACTGTATTATTTACACTATTAACAATAGTAGAAAATGAAATAGGACTATTAATATCAGCACTTGGTGAAAAATCTGAGTCTACCAAAACATGATTAGGTAGGCGTGATAAAACTTCTAAAGCTAGTGCTGGACAACCTGCACGGAAATGTGCATGAGCTGTAGTAAAAAACAAACGTCTCTCTAATGGTGTAATGGCATCTTCAAATTTTCCCTAAAAGAAAATTTTAAAATTCATTATAACATAACAGTAATTCTTTTCCATTGATAAAAGTGTTCTAGTAAAAATTATAAGAATTATGAATAAAATTAATTAAGTAAATATTTAGTTACACAAAATTTAATCTACAGTATGTTCTTATTTATTATTATTATGCTTCAGATGGAGTGCATTGTACACAGCATATGTACCAGTGCCTAGTACTATGCCAGACCAAAGTCAAAGCATAACTACAAGAAAAAAATAATAATAATGTTTTATTTACATGTTACTCATGTCTGTATCTGTGTTCAAGAAATTCCTTACAATGTGACACATGTTTAGTATGGCAGCTTTCTGTATGTGATATATGTTTTTTGTAAGCATAGCCATCTTAAAGTATTAAACACAACTCAAACTGTTTGTATATGCAACTAACACAAAATCACCTAAAAACCACTGGATTTTTAACCAGTAAAAAACATAAATATTTAATTCTACAAACATTTTTTCTATATAACAAATATGTTCTGTTTGTTTACATTCAAGAATACCTGATAATGTTCATTGTAGACAAAATAAAACATTTGTAGCCTTAAATATTTTTGTTTTTTACTGGTTTTTTAAGTGATTTTGAGTTAGATGAATGTACTGTTGTGAAATCGTATATGTTTCAAAACTTTTGTGTAGCATATGCAGTATGATATCTGTGTAAGAAAGAACTAAAGGAACAGTTAACTGCCCTATCCATTCTGACAATACTTTATTTTGTGAATTAGTTATGAGTATTTACTAACAATGTATGTATTTTTTATGTTGTGGCTATTTAAAACAGCCATGTATATAATGTAAATGATTTTTATCAACAAATGTGATGTCTGGTCTATTGTGAAAAAGTGTTGTTTGTGATAATGGCACTGCCATAGTATACTTTGTATGCGTTGTTATCTATGACTGTCTGAAGTGTGTATTTGTAGTATGGTTGCTGTGTGTGTGTAATAGTTTGTGTTTGTGTACAAGCTTTTGATGTAGGTGGTCCTCTACTTTTGTACAATTCACTATTTCATACATATTTCATACTTTCGATTTTTATTGATATATATGGGTTTATGTTAGGACATGTGCTATCACTTTATGTACATTTCTGTTTTGATGAAAAATTTCCCTTATTAATTCATAAACATAAGTAAAAAACAAAAAAACAGAAGTGTTAATATGGACAAAAAGAAATCAAGGTCTCATAACCTCCATACAATCGAGAGTGTGTATCTCATATACAAATGCAATAAAAGAAGACACAGCATGTTACAGAACCCTTTATCAAGAAAAGAAAAAGAAGAGTATAATTCAATTATCTCTTGGCAAATTTATAAAGAAAACACCAGATACTAATCAATAAAAAATAAATATTTTGAGAACATTTTAATGTTTTTTTACATTGCCCTACTTTCATACATTTCAACTTTCATACACATTTCAGGAACCAATTAGATATGAAAGTAGAGGACCACCTGGTATTATGTTTTCTATTTGATTATGTCAATGTAAGTAGTGAGTTTGTGTTAAAAGCTTGCAACCTGATTGATGTATTGTATAATCTCACGCACAATGTGACATTTCCTACAAATGCTACGAGGTATCATTTAAAACTGTGCTTTTTGTAGTTTCTTTATGACCTGGTCTTGTATGGCAATCATAAACCCTTTCATCTCTTCAAAGAGACACCCATGAGTCAACCAGCAATTTGGCACAGTTCTGTCAACATGATCTTGACTGGGATCATTAGCTGTCATTAGGCTCTGGGATCAGTTTTATACAAATCAATAATAAGAATTCTTAAAACATACAATTTCTATATAATGACAAGAGAATACATATACCTGAATTGTTAACTTTAAATTACTTTCAAGTTTTTTATTAATACTTTTATCAGATTTTCGTTTTTCTTCTGCAATTTGAGCAAATTGTCGACGAACAACTAAAGGATGTGTTCGAAGAAATAAGTAGAAATTAAACACACTTGGATTAGCTGAAATTAAAACGAAGAGGATTAAGAATAAACTTATAAATCTTTCAAAGTATAATTATAATGATATTCAAACTATGTTCTACAGAACTTTGAAATACTGCAAGAAAATTTAATTTTGATTAAAATTAATAACATGAAAAAAAAAAAAACTGCTATTTCTGTTATTTTAAAAAATTTATCCAGTTTACTTTTAAACTCTTACTGCTATGTAATTTTGTTTATGTTCAAGAAAAATTAAAATGATGTTATAATTTTAAAGATTTGTCTATATGTAAATATTTTTTATACCTGAAGATAAATTAATATATTATTTCATAAATCTTTAAAATTTAAAGTTATCTCCACCAATGAAATTTGTTAAATTTTATTTTACTTGAATTGTGCAAATATAGTTAAATTTATTTCCAATGCATCACTGGATTATTTTATTTAATAAAAAACTNTAAACATTAAACTATGATTTATGCTCGAACAGGAATAATAAAATAAAATAATGATATATAACTTACATCCACAGCATCTTTCAGGGCACCTGCTAATAGAAAAAATGCTGCTGCATGATGAAATCTTTGTTTACCTAAAAGTGCAAAGGCATTCTTTAAAGCTGCTTTACGCCATTTATTTTCACTGAAGTTGTGTTGGAAGAAAGCAGTCATCTTAGTATCACTTACTGACCTGAAAATAATAATAATATTACTTTAAAAAATGAACAGCATTGATATATATAAATATTAAAAACTAAAACTGCTAATTTAAGAATTAACTCTTCAATAGTCACGTAGCAGATGTGAAAAGCAAAGTTTTATCTTATTTAAGATTGTAAGAAAAATTACAATTGCATTAAAATACATGCATATAAATTTCATTCTCATCATCATCTGACAATTCTATTGGTATAAAACACTTGTGCATTGATAGCATTATTAATTTTATAAATGTAGTTAACTAATACGATCCAAAAATGCAAACAAATAAAAATATCCAATTTAAATCCATCATTATTCCTTTCAAGTTATGATCAGAAACAAGCAGTTTGTTCCATTTGGTAGCATAAAGGCTCCTGTTACAAATTCAAGATAGCAGGATTTCAGATTTAAAGATACAAAATCACCACTTCTCCAAAATATAATGATAGAAATAATTGCATTATAACTCTCTACTATTAATAGCTGTAAAATTCAATATGCTTCCTTTTGCAGAAGAGTTTTATTTTTAAAATAAAACACTTCTGCAAAAGTTAATGTTATTTATAAAATTTTATAGTGAGATCTTTGTGTAATATTGTGTGTGATGATCTAAGCAATTTATATCAATTTATAAATTTGAAATAGTGTAATAATGAAATAATCAAAGAACATGAAAAAAAGGTGTATGTCTATTTTATAAGAAAAATAATAAAAAGTTGTTATAGTGTGCTTCACTCCACAAAAATTTAACAGGCAATGATGCCATATAATTTTCTCAAAGCAAGCTTTAGAAAACAAACTGAAGTCTGAATTTTTTAATATAGAACCATATCTTTTATAAACAGAAAACAGACATCTTAAAATAATTGTTTTTTCTAATGATTTGTTTTTCAAAAAATGATATTTTATTTATTGATGACATATCATATGCTGTGTGCTATCATGACACACACTACGTGTTTTAAACCTGTCTTCATTATAAAAGAAAATAACAATTTATATATTTGAAATAAGTGTATATATTGTTTTCAAAAGCTAATAATAATTTATATATATTAGCAAGCACTGGTTGGTGCTGTTGCTTTGCAATGCAGAGTATAGTAATGAGAGTGCCAATCTATTTTTAGGGTGGTACTCCAAGGTAATGACTTATCATAAAAGACATTATTTTGGCATGAGAAACCATGAATTTTTCTAAAAAAATATAAAACCAATGCTAAAAACTTTTATCTTGATAAATAATAATTGATATGGATTTAACTTTCATAATTTAAATAGAATTTGTTCAGAGAAATTAAACAATGTTTCTGGTAAAGTAATACATCTGAGAATAATATATTGAGATTTCAATGTAGTTCTTTAACCATTAGTTCTAAGAAGAAGAATTCAAATATCCAATATCAGATATAAATTTATTATACCTGTTGCATCATCTCCAGAAGATTTCATATCATCTGATGAGACAAACTTTGGATGCAATGAGCCTACATCTGTTATTGATAATAGAAGTGTTTTTAATGCACCATTGTAATCTTGTAACATCCAATGTGCCATACTACGCAAAAATGGATCAGGATGTGCACAAGAAGGTTGATAATTAGTTCCATCAGCATCATACCCAAGTATTTCTTTAAATAGTAATGAACGTAAACTGTTAGTGTTGGAATCCAAATCTCCTTCATAAAGTCTAATAATTATCATTGCCAACTGAAAATCATCAAGTTTAGATAAACATACCTGAAAAGTAAAATAAAATTATTGTAGAATTTATATAATAAATTATTTCATATTAATTTTTGACAAAAATTAGAATCTTAAGAAATATAATTAAAATTATAAATAAAATTAGATTGTTTTCTTCTAGTTTTTATTTTATTAATTGCAATTCCTTAAGAAAGTTTAAATTTCTTATTTTATTTCTTATAATATACTTTAAAAATTTCTTTTAAAGAAAAATGTTCAAGAAATTTTTTACATATATTATAATNCTTACAAAATTTTATTCATGTTTGATAAAGATTGGTTTTGATTACAAATGTTTATCATCATTATATTCATAAATCAAATTAAATACTTAAATGCTTATACTTAAATGGTTAATGATGCAATTTATGAAGTTGGTTCTTAAAAATTTTGATATTTTATGGGTATTTTAATTTGTATAATTTTTTTTTTTTACATCCACCATGATATTTACATTTTTACATAATAATTTATTTAAAACTAAATAAATTTTTTTTGTATTACATGCAAGTTTTAGATTGGTTTATTAAAATTTACACTATCTTGCAGATACTTGTAAATCATCTTGAGAAAATAGTACAAAGCAAAGCTAAATAAAAGCATTTAAAAATTAAAACTCAAAAATAAAAATTACAGATTCTTTGGAATCAATAAAATATGATTATTTTTTACATTTTATGGTTTATTTCATTTAGTACATAGCTTTGTAATGTATGACAATTAGTTGATAGCTGGGTGAAAATTTTAAGACTACCACTGATGCCTAAAGATCATCATTAACATATAAATAAAACTTCATACTGTTTATAACCTTCATAATAAATTTTTAAATTTTAATTTATTGTTTTATAATAAATTTTTCAATTATGTTGATGATTGTAAAATATCAAAAAACCTATAAGGGTAATGTCATTAAACATTAAACTATGATTTATGCTCGAACAGGAATAATAAAATAAAATAATGATATATAACTTACATCCACAGCATCTTTCAGGGCACCTGCTAATAGAAAAAATGCTGCTGCATGATGAAATCTTTGTTTACCTAAAAGTGCAAAGGCATTCTTTAAAGCTGCTTTACGCCATTTATTTTCACTGAAGTTGTGTTGGAAGAAAGCAGTCATCTTAGTATCACTTACTGACCTGAAAATAATCAATAAATAAATTAATAAAACAGATTATATTAATATGACTGTTATGTATATAATTTAATATTGAAAATATCTATTTATATGAGATTAAATGGTAAAGTTAAATAATAAAATTATGTGTTAAATTTAGAACAGGTAATAGTATATTATCAAGTATTATATAGAAGTGCGAGTATTATTCTGTGTCATTAACTGATGATTTGTAAGGAAATTTGTAGTGATAGAAAGCTAACATAATAGATCAATTACCTAAAATTTTTATTGAAAAAAAACACTGATTACATAATGATTGATAATAATATTTTTTATTTTATTTAATTTTTTATCTTTGTCACTATTTTGAGTAACTACTTATACATTTGTATTTAGAATTGTGGAATCACTCATTTTAACTAGAATTTATTGTGTTAATGCAACTTGCATTAATTTTAATATTTGAAAATTTGTATAAAAAATCTATATTGATAACTAGCTATTACGTAATACTGTTTGCTTTTGTTATGTTTCTATATTAATAGAAATACAACAAAAATTTTAAAAATTTACTAATTCTTGAAAATTCCAATTTATGTTGGTACTCAGTTTGTTATCAAAATTCTTGTATTCTCTGAAAAAACAGTTATTATTTTAAATACTATTCAGATTAATATGGTTATAATATTTTCTACCTTATTAAAAATAAAATTAATTACATCTGGGATATAAATCTGAAATAACAATTTATATTTGTATTAATTAAATATAATTAATATGCAAGATAATAATAATACTATGAGGTAATAGTTATTTAAAATGATACCAAATTGCTGAACACTTTACTGTAAATTGAAAAGTTAATCACTACCATCTTGCTTTAAGAAGTTTAGCAAATCTTACACTTTTGATTTTATTGGTTAAATATACTTAAAATGTTGAATAATACTTGTTAACAGTATAAATATTATCAATCAAATTTTACATCTCAATTAATTAATTCTAGTAATTTATAAACCCACTTTGAAAAATAAATTTCAACATTCATCATACAGTTTATTATATTTTTTAATGATAATAATAATAAAATTAATAATTTTACCTAAATAAGCCCCAAACTACATTTTTCTTTTTCATAGCCAAGTAAAACAGAGCAGCATCCAATGGTTCACTTTTGAACTGAAATGCAGCTTTGGCAACCTAATAAAATAATAAATTCTGCATAAAATATTTTTAAAATATTACTTTTATTTTTCATTTTTTTTATAATTTTATAAATTAAATTTGTTTCTATTAGATTTTTGATTCAATTGTCTATGAAATCAAAAATTTAGTATTTGATTCTACAAAAAATAGTATTTACTTTTTAAATAACATATTTTCTCAAACATATTAATGTATCAATTACCATGCTTGTTAGAAAAGCATTTCTTGTTTCCTTCTCTCAAGCTCTTTTAAATAATGAAGTCAATTTCATAAAACTGTCTTTAAGAAAAGCAGTATGCTTTGTATATTTGACTTTAATAAAATAAAACTTGAGCTTTTTGAAAATAATTTATCTTCAGAAACTTTCCATTGTGTGATAGAACAAATAATTTAAGACATGTAAAATAATTATTTTTTTAAATATATATCATATGAAACTACTGATAATTTTATAGTAAGTAAAATAATAAATAGTTTCATATGATATGCAATTATTTGTTCTAACATGAAACAGAAATTAAAATTTTAAATAGAGGACTAAGTCTTCAGAAAATGTTGAAGTCATTAATAATATTATATTACTGTTAATATTGCTATTTAATTATTATTTATAGTTTACTGAACAACACAAAATATAAATTTTTTATTATGTTTAGAAATAACAATTAGCAAGCAATGTATGAAATATACAGACTTTCTTTATAATAGTAATTTTTTTCATAACTTTTTTGAGTAACTAATAAAGTCTTTAAAAACATATTAAATTCTTAAGAATAATAACTTTAAGATCATTATACCTTTTCCATAATTCTACGAAGGACAGTATTACTACGAATCCACCAGCCTATTCCAATCTCCTTTAATTCACTCCAGCGGGGATTACCTCGCTGAACAGTTGGAATTAACTGTAATAATTCTTCTTGTGTTTCAGAATGGAAAGCACATACAATACTGTGAGTACCTAGACCTTTCTTCTGAAGTTGAGCACGCTGAACAAGAGGAAGACATCGCATGAGATAAGTATGATGTCTAACAGCCAAAAGATATCTCAAGCCACAATCATCAAGAGCATCTAAAAAACATTATAAATACTAAAGTTTCAATTTTTATTCAGATCTGAAATAACTATTAATGGCAACTTAAAGGAATTTAGATATTAATAATACAAATGAAATAACTTTTTATCTTTGGTATTTAAAACACTTTTAAGTTGAAAACATTTACCAGATAACTCAATCCTTTGTTGGAAAAGTGCTCTGGTTGTTACAATTAAGTATTAAATTTATAAATAACGACAAAGTAAAATTCATTTTTTTAATTTTTATTTATTCTCTTTTGTTATAAAATTATTTTGATGTGTTTTAAGACTTTCAAATGCTTTGTTGTTAATGATCTTATTTTGCTACAGTTTTTTCTATTTGTTCTATATTAATTTAAATGCTGTTCTAATACAGTAAAACCTATGTAAACTGAAATTGCACAGTACCAAATTATTTTTTCTATTTGGCAGATTTTGGTATTTTTTTTTCATCTATAAACTATAGTAGATAAATGTCACAATAATAAGATATGTTTACACAGAATATTTCAATTTTATTTAATAAATGAGAAAAGAGAGAATTTTAAGTTACTTATCAGCAAAATTTAATAAATTTATATTATTCACAAAAATTTTATTTTAATTTTGTTTTTATTCAGCTTGTTCAATTAAATACCAAAACATAGCTTCTAACACCAAATAGCACTCAGCTGGCTAGCCAAGACAGTTAAGGCATCAGTCTACTGCTCTGGAGACCCAGGATTGATTCTGAGAAGGTCAAGGAATTTTTTAAGGGTAATCTGTCCCAGACGTGTCAGATTCCATCACTCACCAACCACCCTACACAAATTTAAATAACCCATGAAAACAACCAAATCTTAAAATTTACTTGAGCATGTGCAGCAGTCTTAAATGCAAATTCTATAATTTTTTTAGAAAGCAATTTCTTAAAATAGAAGGAATGAGAAATGAATATTGTTTTTAGAATTAAAATCAAATGGAAATTTTTAAAAAGGCAAATTTATTGAAACATGTTAGATCAAAACAAATTATGTAGAAATAGAAGTAAATTTTTTCCAGATTGTTAAACCAAACTCTAAAAAAATTCATGTAAAAACAGAACTGAATGTATTTATTATTTTTATATAACAAAAATATTCACAGAGCTTTGTTTTTGATGGTATTAATGTTTAGAATTAAAATTTACAATAGTAAGACTATTTTCATTTGAATTTTGTTGAAATTTAATTACAAATACATTAACACACACAATGTTAACATTAGTAAATAACCTATCATTCTTACCTGTGGTTATTTCAAAAGCATTATCTTGTTTATTAACTAACTGTTTTGGACCATCTGAAAAATTCCAGATTATTATTATTACTTTATTTATTTATTAAATTCAAATATTATTTATTTATTAGTAAGTTTGCTTTATTGCATAATACACAAGTGAATATGAATACATAAACACACATACACTTATGTACATATATTTCTCTATATAATGAAAAAACTGAATATAATGTATTTTATTAGCTTGAGTGACTACAAGCACAAAATCTCAAAGACAATCAGCACATTTTCAATCTGCTTTAGATCAAGTTAGTAAAAACAGCTGAAGCAAAAACGTGCCTACATATATAAGTTTCAGAAAAATGTAACCTCAATCTGTTGAAGCTATCCAACAACTTAACTAGTTGCTAACTCTTCTTACTTTCCAAGAAGTAACTACAGCTATTTAAAGAAAGAAGAAATAAAAGAAATGAAGTTAGTTCCTTTATTTGAACCAACTTCAGCTTATAGTCACATTTGAAATTGGCATTTGTTTTGAACTGTGACCTGAAGATGGTCTGAATAAAGGTCTAAAAACAATTCTTCTTTACTTAAACTTTGGTTTCCTTAAATAGATGTATTTACTTTTTGAAACATGCAAAACTGTACAAGCCTTACAGAAATTTCTAACTTTTCTTATTTTTATTTGTAGATTAAGTTCTTGTTGCATTATTTAGTAATTATTTTTATTATTATATTAATTTACTTTTATTTTAATTTAATATAAATTACATAGTTTTGTTACAAATAGTTTTTATACAATTTATAATGTTAAGCCATGAATGTATAATATAGTAAATTTAAAAGATAAAAGAACTGACAGAATTTTTGTTTAGTCATAACAAAAAAGATAAATAATAAATAATATTGTATTATTGGTTAAGTTTATGAAAAATAATCAAACATATTATTAATACATCTAGAAAATAAATTTAATATTTTGAAAATTTAAATTATTTCGAAAGCTTAATTTGCAAAAAAGTTTTTGATTATAATGTAATTATTATTTATATTAAATAGTATTTTAAAAAATATTAAATTATTATTATTTTTTACCTGATTCGGCATGAAATTGATCAGAAAAAGTAACATTAAATGAAGACACTGTATCTGCTAAAGCCAATAAGTGCATCTGATCTAAACTAGATAAACCAGGAAGATGGGAATGTGTTAATAATCTGGTGAGGAGATGAGCCTGAGAAATAAACAATATTTTTATGAAAGGTCCAGTAAATAGAAAATATTAAAAACTTTATTAATTAGTCTTACTCTTCTATTGCACTGCTTATGAATTTTAAAACATGCAGCAACTAGTTAGTCATTATACACGAAGAAAATTAATTTTTTATATGCAACTACTTAATTACATGTTAATAAAATGCTTAAAATTAATGAATGTTTAACAATAACTCAATATAACCAATTTTCTTGTCTCTAAAATTCAAATCGAAGAAATGCTTCAATTTACTTAAACAATTTAAGTATATGATAATAGTATACTGAATAATGTAATGAAAATTTAATTATATGATAATAATATGATATAATCATATCATATTATTAGATATGATAAAAATTACAATAAGATTTAATAATTTTAATTACCTGCCTAGGACCAAACTGTGTAAGAGTTGATTTTTGAGTCTTTGTAGAATGAGACATTTCTCGTCTTGCACTTAACTGAAGTTTATCACCAAGAATATCATCAAGGGATTCTTCTTTTTGAGTGACATTAATATCAAAGAGTCCACTGTAGTCCTTGATAAAAAAAAGTATATTTTGATATAAATATTTTATGACAACTTATTAGAGGATAATATAAGAGTGAATTTATAAGCCTAAAAAAAATAAAAATTAAGATTTAATCAGAAAGCATTCATAATCATATTTACATAATGTTAACATATTCAACTATATATAATAATTAATTAATTAAAGTTCATTTAAACTTCATTATAAAATAATAATTTTTATTATATTTTTAAAATTGATATTTTGTTTATTTTATTGTATTTAATTATATTATCCTACTATAATTTTATTATAAACCTAAAATTTTCAATAATACAGAAATTATAATGCATTATTTTTCAGTCAACAAAATACTGAGTGATCAAAATTCAAGTACCCCTATTCAATACTGTCTGAAAAGATATTTAACAGTCAAAGGCAACCAAGTTTTGTATGATGACATTTCTCTAAAAAAAAAAAAAAAAGATAAATACAATAGAGTCCCAAAAACTCGGCCTAATATGGACCAAAGGGTGGCCAAGTTTGTGAAAATGTTGGGTTATTGGGAATGGGGTTAAAAAAGGATAAGTACGAGTGTTTCCTCAGAAAATACTGTACTGTACTTGTATGTATTGTTTGCTTGAGAATACAACAGAGATTAAACTGCCCAAATACCCTTAAACAAAGAAAATGTACTGTACTTGTATGTATTGTTTGCTTGAGAATACAACAGAGAATAAACTGCCCAAATACCCTTAAACAAAGGAAAAGGACATACTTTATGAAGGCATAGAGCCTTTACTACATGAAAATGAAAATTAATGAATACACAGTGTACAGTAATTTACCTGATAAGACAGATCTCAGAAAAATACTTTATGAGGCATAAAGCTGTCTATAATGAAAATTAACTAGGGGTTTTTTTGCCCTGCCAGGGTGTGGCCAAGTTATCCAGACTGTCGGGTTATCGAGTGCCGAGTTTTCGGGACTCTACTGTACCAAATCTCACCACTATGACACTTTTAAAACTAAAGCAATGAAAAAGCAGTTTCCTTTACACAAGTATGTGTGTTACAGCCAAGTTTTGGGTATAAACCCAGACCAATACACCATGCTGGGGTAGAAACTTTATATTGGCTGTGAAAGGCCATGGGCACAATTGTCCCCATTCAGTATAAAAGTACCTATATGGTTATATCTTTTTAAATTAATTGGTCTGGAAACAAAGATTGGACAGATCTGGATAATGTAATTGGCAACACATCTGCATGATAAGCAGAAGTTAAGGATTTGAGTCCTACTCCAGATTAAACTTTTTCTTCCAGAATATTCTACATTAATTTATTTAATTCTAATGATTAAATGTTACACGAGGCAGTAACTTAATCTCCTACCTTTTGTTCAAATTACAAAATATCTATAAATTTGTTTAGCTAGGCCCAATAATGAATCCAGTGTTATCTCTTATCATGTAAAAATATTTGTTAAGAATGTTCAATAAGATTATGTCTGTTATGTTATAATAAATAAAAAAGTTTTAAAACTCTAGTTAAAAATTACTATTTTATAAATAAAAGTATATCACAAAAATTTTAATGTTCAATTTAACAATATTTTAAGCCTAATGTATTATTAATAAAATATAAACTAGTTTAGCTCTATGAAACTTAGCTCATGTGAATCTGTAGATTCAAAAATATCTGCACACCAACCAGGGTTATTTATTTATTTATATTTAATTAAAATTTCAGTTTATAAATAATCACACAAGGTTTTGCAATAAATGTTTCTTTACTCTTACTGTTTCTTGCTAATTTATAAGTTAAAAAAATACCTAGTCTTTAAAAATAAAATTTACATTGCAAATATATAATTTATACTATATTCACTTGAAAACTATATTTAAAAAAGAAAACCTAACTCTAAAATTGAAATAGCTTGTATAATCTTGCATTTTGCCAAAAATTGTCATTAACATTCTTAGTTTTATAAAAACATTAATAGTCTGTTTTTCTGTTTTTGTCTTCATCTAGAAATAATTGTATAATTATTAGTGTTGCAACGAATAGTATATTTGGCCAAACTATTTGGCTTGATTAACGCACGTATGAAAATTGGTGCGCAAACCGCATTATGGCAAGGACCCTGCTCTCCATTGGCCCGCTGTCCCTATGCTTTGCCAATCGCGTTAATTCTTGACAGTTGTAGTGGACAGACAAGAGCGTCATGGCAGTATGTGATAAATGATATCATCAAATGTTAATAACAATGAAATGACCTACACATGTAAATAACGGAAAAAGAACAGAGAAAGACCACAAAGTGAAAATGTGAAAATAAATATGAAATTGAGTCGATAACATAATCGAACAAGTCGAAGCAGCTTATTGGCGTGAAATTTGTGGCTGTCAATGCCAAACAATTGTTGTCATAGACTTTGGAAAGCTAAATGCTTGTAATGAAAGTCACTTAGCATGCACGGGCAAAGGCCTGGGACCGTTCGGGCTATCAAGATGTCTCAAATCTGTGAAATCATAACTGACATATACCAACGTCCTATCTGTCTCTTTTCTCCGTTATCACCAGACTATGAGTCACGTAATTATAAAATGTAAAAACTATGACAGAAAAGTGACAAGTCAAAAGTATCGTGAGTGCGTATTATGATGTATGCATAGGCATACGTGGACTAAAGAGATGGAGGAAAGAGAAAGGAAAGAGCAAAGACGAGCGCTTAAAAAGGATAGGCAGGGTCAGACACTCAGATGTGTGTGACGATTCTTGAACGAATAGGTGTGTACATGTGCTGATATTTGTAATTATAAATTGTAAATACATGTGACTAATATTATATTTTTTTATTTTGTGCATGTTATAAGTTATAAATAAATATAAACAAACAACACTAACCTGATAACATTAAATCTAAATACCAAAATGATTAATTTACTGTGTTTTTGTTATTTCTTACTCCTGTTTTTAGGCATTCAATATTTGGCCGAATAGCGAAAAATAGGCTGAATAGGCCAAACACCAAATAGAAACCGAATATTCGTTACATCAATAATAATTATAAAAACTGAGAATCTGGTTAAGCCAGAAGAAAATAAGGAATGATCAAGCTATCTGAACTTATATCTATATAAAATGAAAAACTTTATTAAGAAAATTATGAAATATTCATATTTTATTAGTATAATACAAATTTACATTAAAGACATTATGGAAGATTGATCCAAAAAGAAATTCAAAGACCAAAACTAATACTTTTCATTCAAATTCTCATAATACTTACAATAGAAGGAAGAATGGAAGATTTGATTTACTTTATTGATAATCTGATGTGATAATTATCATATCAAATAATCATATCATTGCCAATATAAATATATATATATATAAAAAGAAAATTTGAATTTTACAGAAAAACTATATATATATA